TACATGATTTATCAGTTGGAGCAGTGTCAACCATAAACTTCGACAAGCATTCGATGGGCTTCAGCTGCACTTTTCTTCCATTAAAGCAGAAAATTAAAACCTCCCGCAAATGCTGCTTGGTTAGCACAAAATTCGACATTTCGAACACAGTAAAAATCAAGGTTTTTGTATGAAACTCAAAGCGATATAAACTGAATATTATTAGCAGATGTCTAACCTCTCTGAAACCGCCAAAATCTGCTGTCACTATGAACCATTCACAACAGCCAGAGCTATCTTTTGAAAAACGGACCGAACTAATTTGTACTCCTGATATATATATATGTATGGTTAGGCTAAGAAAAATTGGAACAAAATTAACGTATAGCAAGAATAAATACATTCAACAATCATTATTCGCAAACGTTCGTAGATTTTCTTAGCTGCTTTTCTTGGTAGCAATATATCTTATTGTAATACGTGCTACAAAATTAATGCTTTATTAATGTTTTTCTATTAAAACACTTTTTTACTTCTGGAATATATCGTTTTATTAATTATTAATTATATTCTTACTATATGCGATTTATTATCATCTCGTTACCGGATAGAGTACATGACAGTAAAATAAGATATTGAAGCTTTTATCAACTGTAATAAAAAATATCTTTTTTTATCATAACACAGTTCGGAACATACCATCGTGTAGATATTGTTTACTATGGGATACAGATTCTTACTGTAGCGAAACATTCTAAAGATCCAACAAATATTCCACCGATGGTTAAAGTAAAATCTTTGGTTCCTTTTTGTAGCAGAAACAGTATCATTTTCTGTATGTACAAAGGAGTGATATACCATTGAATATTATATCTAAAACATGACATAAACAAACAATTAGTAATTGCAGAAAAACAAGATTTATAAATAACTTTTGCTGCCCATGCTGTCCATTTTACAAAAAAGCATTAATCTTTAATTTTAATATAATAATTTTTAAGACGGTCTCTTGCACAATTATATCACAATTATGTGTTTTGAGAAAATTTCTTACGCTGTAACGAAAACATGACTGTTATGATCTATAATCATCTGTGCAGTATTGTGACCTACAAACATGCTTACTATACTTATTATTACAGATAGAAAAGGCAATAATTCCATAATATCATTCTTGGATAACATAATTTGAGAAATCTGAAACACAAATATTAAAATTAAAACTAATTTATTTTTCATGTTTTTACTATCATTCTACAGTAAATTATAAAAATTTTTTTTTTCTTAAATTGAGAAAGTTATGGATGATTCATATAAATTTCAGTATAAATTTATAAATAATAAGTACATAGAACTAAGGCACTATAAACGTGAGTATTCTCACGTCTGCGCCATTTTCGCTCTATTCCCCCACTCCTTGCCCTCTCGCCCTTTTAGCTTCTTAGCTCGCCCTCGCTGAGCTAAGAAGTTTATGGTGATTAGGCGAAAGGGCAAGGAGTGAGGGAATGGAGCAAAAATGGCGCAGACTTGAGAATACCTACATCTTTAGTGCTCTAATAGAATTGATAACACAGAAGTTCAAGCAAATATCTAAAGTAAAGTAAAATTTAAGACTTACTCGAAAGAGGTTGAGGCTTACTAATACCACTAGCCCTATTATTAGACACAACAGCATTGTCTCAAATCTATATATCAAAAGTTCAGATAATCTTTAAAGACAATAAAATATTGTACATATTACACATTTATCGTTAAATAGATACAAACTTCATAGCTTGCCGATGAATATCTACCGCACTAATTATATTATTACATATTACATTTTTTCTTTTTAGACTATTATTTTCTAGTATACTAATATTTATTATGCGTTCTAGACGGTAACTGTAATAAGCAAATATGTTTATTGAATAGTGTGTGTTTTGCTTTATAAAATAAACATTGTTTTTTTATTTGTTTAAGGTAATTACAAAATCTTTCTTCAAAATATGAATATGTATAGTTTTTTTTACGTTCGTTTTACCTGGCGATTCTAAACATTGCACAAGTATGTTGTATATAAGTGAAGAGTATTGTTCCTATCGCTATTAATCCCGCGACTCCTATAGCTAATGCGGCGTTCATATGCAGCAAGATTAAAACAATATATCTTTCTTGATCGACAAAGTATTCGGTTACGAATAGGATATTAAGTGGACGAGATTTGTTCATCGGTAAAACCATATCAAAAAATCTCGGCCAACATTGAGTAATAAAAAACCCAATAAAGCCGCAAAAACCCATTACTAAAAATGTTGGAAAGAAAGGTATTTAATTCTGTTTTTATAATCTTTAAAAATTATTTTACGTTATATGGCACTTAATACATACACGCGCACAATAAAAATTGATATTTTTTAAATTTAATTTTGATTTATTTATATGTATGTATATGTATATGTATATAATTTATTATTTTTAAATTTTATACTCTATTTTTGTATTATGCAATTTATAATTTTTTTGCAACATATTTTATGTTATTTTAATAAATCTCAATTTACTTTGCTGCTATTTTATAATCATTATTAATACATATCCATATATGACACATGTTTAATAAATAAACACTTAAATTTTATATAAATAAATTATTGTAGCACCTTGGCTCAAATTTGTTACTGATTTTATAAGCTTATCTATTAAGTAGAAAATGTGAACTTATAAAAGAATTTAAAAGTATTGCTTTACCTAAAAGTACAATTAGCAAAAACTTTGCATTGTGATCATACTTTTCTATGATAGCGTGTTCATTTTCATCTTTTAATGCATTGTATACATATTGAAGTTGTGCTATGAAATCCTTCATCTATAATACATTATTCTAATAATTATTATATTATTTTATGCGTTTTTATTTAAAGATATGTACATGTGTGTGTATGCGTACGTGGATTTAATTAAATATTAATTTCATTAACTTACAACTTTAGTATTAGTACTGAATGAAACATATGTTGCCATAGAAAGTGCAAGGATAGTTGTGACAGAAAGAACCTTGATCACCAGATCGAAAGTACATTTCGATGTCAAAAATATAGTAAACTATAAATAATTATTTAACTAAAGTATTAGTGTTAAATATTTTTTTTCTATATACAATTATAAATTTCTAAAGTACAATTTGTATATGTTATTCAATATTTCTTTATGTTTAATATTTAAATCAATAACTCACATAATTATAATTATATATTCTATATAATATATACAACAAATAATGAATATTAAATATATGTATATTATAATATTTTAAATTGTAAAAAATTGATACTTATGTGTTTTAATTTGTTATCATCGTATTCATAATCATAATATTAAGATACTGTCTCACCTGAAAAAAGATCGCAGTCATCTGAATACTACAAAGAAAAATAAACCAAAGTCGTGTGAGCTTAGATTGTTGATAAGGCCATAATCCAATAATAAGCAGAAGAATTCTACTAACATGAAAATACTGATTCTCGAGACGAATCATTTTTCGTCGCTGCTCAGGACTGAGTGAACGCGAAAAATTCGAAGAGAGTACATTTATCCTCTCCTTTATGCACAGATCGATCAAATATATTTTTTCTCCCTTTTATGTGAATTTTACCGCGTGTTTTAATATAGAGTAATTTTATATGCTTTAGAATACTGTCGTGGGATCAGAAACACTCGTATTTTGATAGCCCTTCGAAATATAATTGGACAATTTACTAATCGATTTGATATTAAAGAAATTTAAAATGTTTTTCTTTAAAGAATTTTAAAATGTTTTCCACAATAGTGATATAGGATATAGTTCTGACAATAGATTATTTATGTAAAAGTAACGCAGGCGCATTTCTTTCTTTTTCACGCCGTCATTTTATTCTAACGCGCATCTTTACACTATACGTTTGATCTTTGATAGAGAAAGAGAGAATTATTTTTTCCAACATTAAACGTTAATAAGATATTAACTGTCAAATTAACGTCGATTAAAAGTAAGTAATTCTATTCTCCGATAAAAATAGTTTCGCTTTTTACCCGTCTTTTGCGTTCAAAACAAAATTAGTGTTGATAGTCGATCATTATTCCATGATTGATCTTTATCAACGTTATTTCGAGATCCGTGCTCAATCATTATCAACGGAACCACGAATTTCGTACTTGATCATAGGATTAATTAGTCATGGAATTACGAATATACACATATATGTATATATAAGTAGACTAAGAAAAATTGGAATAAAATTGGCGTATAGCAAGAATAAATATATTCAACAATCGTTATTTGCAAACGTTCGTAGATTTTCTTAGCTGCTTTTCTTGATAACAAAATATCTAATTGTAATACATCCAAAAAATGAAAGTTTTATTAAAATTTCTTTTATTGAAATTTCTACTTTTAGAATATATTGTTTTATTAATTATATTCTCACTATATTACAATTTATTTTTATCTTGTCACCGCGTGGAATGCATAACAGTAAAATAAGATACTGAAGCCTTTACCAACTGTAATAAAAAATATCCTTTTTTATCATAATAATCCGTAACATGCTAACATTTACATATTATCTACCAAGCAGTATAGTTTCTTACTGTAGCGAAGCATTCTAAAGACGCATCAAATATTCCACCGACATTCAAAATATAATCTTTGGCTCCTTTTTGCAACAGAAACAGTATTATTTTTTGTATTTGCAAAGGGGCAATATACCACTGAACATTATATCTAGAAAATTATATAAACAAAAAGTTAGAAATTTAAAAAACATATTTTTAAATAATTTTTTACATACGCTATTCATTCTAAGCAAGCATTAGCCTTTAATTTTAATGTGTGTTTATAAAGTGTATTCTTGTACAATTATATCATAATTATGTGTTTTGGGAAAATTTCTTACGCAGTAACGAAAACATGATTATTATGATCTGTAACCGCTTGTGCAGCATGATTAGCTAAAAACATGTATAATGTACTTGTAGCTACAGACATACAGGGTAAAAGAAATTCCATAAGATTATTTTTAGATAACATAATTTGAGAAATCTAAAACACAAATATTAAAATTAAAACCAAATTATCTGTCACGTTCTAATCATCATTCTACGATACATTATAAATTGTGTTTCTTTTTAAACAGGAAAATTATAGAAATCTGTATAAATTTGTAAAAATAAAATTTATATAAATTATTAATATGAAATTCAAGACTTACTCGAAAGAGGTTGACACTCATTAATAGCACTAGACTTCCTGTTATACACAACAGCATTGTCTCAAATCTAGATATCAATAGTTCGGACAATCTTTAAAGACAATAAAATACTGTACTCTCAGTCACAGAAGTGCCTTAACACATGAACTTGCACGAGTAACTTGCAACATTAGGGTGCAGTATATTCGTGTGTTAAGGCATTCCTGTGGCCGAGCGTACATATTACACATATATCGTTGGATAAATACAAACTTCATTGCTTGTCGATGCACGGTTACAGCACAAATTATCCCATCATATATCAAATTCATATTGTTTAGGCTACTTCTTTCCAGCATATTAACCCTCATTGTGCGTTCAATACGATAACTGTAAATAACAAATAAAAAATGAATATGTTTATAAAATAATGTATTTTGTCTTCATAAGTTATTTTTATTCATTTGTAATAATATCATATCATTTACATATAATTTTATTTTGTATATTTGTAACTGTTTCTGCATTTAATTCACACACATACCTAGCAATTTTAAACATTCCACAAGTATACTGAATATACGCATGGAGCATTGTTCCTGTTGCTAACATTGCTATTAAGCCTATGAAAAGTGCAGTGCTTATATGAAACAAAATTAAAAAATAATATCGTTCTTGATCGACGAAGTATTCTGTTACGAACTGCATGTTGTGTATACGAGATTTGTTCGTCGGTAAAATTACATCGAGAAATCTTGACCAAAATTGGCTAATAATAATAACAATTATGCCGCAGGTACCCATTGCTAAAACGGTTTGAAAACAAATTTTATTTAAATTTGTTTCTTTTTTTTAATAATTCTTTAATATTATTTCATTATAACACACACAACACATACACGCGCAAGCTCACGCACAATAAAATTTAACAGGTTTTAATTTATTTTAATATATAATTGATTCAATTAATAATATATTTGCATTATGCAATTTATAGTGCTTTCGCAACATATTTAATGTTATTAAAATCTGAAAATTTTTGCTACTACTATAATTATTATTAATGCATATCCATATGTGAGAAATGTTCAGTAAATCTATATATATTGTATATTATTTATGTTTTATATAAATAAATTATTATAATATCTTGGATTCATTTTTTTACTCAAATTTTAAAAGCTTTCTTCTAGTTATTTTTTTTCTTTAAATAGAAAATGTAAACACATGTATAAGAATCTAAATGTATATTGCCTTACTTGTAAGTACAATTGTGTAACACTTTGCATTGTAACCATACTTTTCTAGGATAGCGTATTCATTTTCATCTTTTAATTCGTTATATATATATTGAAGTTGTGTTAATAAATCTTTCATCTACAATATATTATTCCAATAATTTATTATTATATTATTTTAATTTATAAAATATATGTATTTCTGTGTGAGTATTTGGCTAAATATTAAATTGATTAACTTACAATCTTGATGTTAATACCGAAAAAAATATATGATATCATAAAAACTGCAAAGAAAAGTGTGGTAGAAAGAACCTTGATGACCAGATCGGGAGTACATTTCGATGTCAAAAATATAGTAAACTATAAACATTTATTTTATTAAAATGTTAACGCTATAAAAATTGGTCACTTGATATAATTAGCAATTCTTTAAGTATAAATTTTGAATTATTAAATGTTTTTTATGTTAAATTTTTGAATGAATAATTCAGCTAATTATAATTATAAAGAATTATGATATATTCTACATATAGCAGATAACAGACATTTAATATATGTATATTATAACATTTTTAATTGTAAAATTGTAAAAAAATTGTTACTTATTATTTGACATAATGTAAGATACTGTCTTACCTGAAACACGATTGCGGACGTCAGAATACAACAGAAAAAAATAAACCGGAGTCGTGTGAGCTTAGATTGTTGATAAGGCCATAATCCAATAGCGAGCAAAAGGATTTTATTAAAATTAAAATATTGACTTTCGAGACAAATCATCTCTTTCGCTGTTCAGGACCGAGTGAACGCGGAGAAATCGAAGGAAGTACGTTTTTCCCCTCCTTTTTGCACACATCGATCAGATACATATCTTTTTTCTCTTCTGTATGAATTTTATCACGTATATCTTAGTATAAAGTAATTTTATATGCTTTAAAATAATATTATGGGATTATAGACACTCGTATTTTAACAGAACTTCTTCTGAAGTGTAATTTGACAATTTAGTAATCGATTTGATATTGAAAGAAATTAAACAGATGTTTTTTCCCATAGAAATAATAAAAAGCACACTTTTGAATGGACTACTTGTGTAATAGTCACGCAGGCGCATTTTTTTTCTTTTCCACGCCGTTAGTCCATGCAGTTCTAATGCGCTTCTTCACGAAATATGTTTGAGAAAGAATTATATTTTCCAACTTTAAACACTAATGTGATATGAACTATCAAAACACTGATCAAAAGTAAGCAACATTCCTAATGGAAATTTCCCCATTTCCTAATGGAAATAGTTTTACTTTAATAATTCTTCGCTCTACATGTTACTTTATTTACTAATATTTCTTTAGTGTGTAACATTTGTTAAAAATTTATTGCATGTTTGTTTTTATTATAATCTGTAATTATACTTAAAAAAATAGTGAAATACTATACTTAAATAATAATAAAATAAATAATCAGTTATATTTTTAGTAAATAAACAATGATTGATCACGATTAATTTAGAATGATATTACAATGTTAATTTATACAAAAATAATAAGTTCAAACTATATTATATTTTTTAAAATCTTTTTGCAATTGAAAGATTAATTGCTGCATTTTGTTTTCGCGATTTGCATAACTTATCTAACTGCATGTGATAATAATAGAAAAGAGATCCCGTGTATGTGTTTGTTTTCATGCGACATGAATAGGGAACCTGTCGACAGGAGGGTGACTATCAGGATCTCATCCCTCACGAATAGGTCCTCATGTGAGGGTGTAAGCGCGTAAACGACCTGTCTGCCTCTATGCATCCTTGATCCGGAAATATGCTTTGCGTTTGAGGCAATTACGTGCATTAACGTGAACGTTGCTGCGGCTTTAATTTGGCAACTCGCGTCCTCCTCACTTTGGCGCCTTTGAACTTCCCAAATACGATTATACGCGACGAACCATTTATTCTGAAAGTAGTTTTCTTCGTCAATATTATGCAGCGGTAAAATATATCAGGACGTGACATGAGTTTTAATAATATATCGTATATTATTTTTCATTAATTTTTATGTGTCGAATAAATAATTTAAAGTTTGATTGTATTTAAAAATATCTTGAAATACAATCGATATGAAGAAAGTGTTAAGATTATCCTCTGCCGTCAATGATGTCGAGCCAAGATGTCGTTATCGTTATATCGTTATCGCTCCTATTATTATATATTACGTAATGTTATATTTTCACACCGACGATTGTATATGCGCGACGTTACGTATCGTGATGCCGTGAAGATGGGATGCTTCGCATATGCCAGGATTACAGGATTTTCTAGCAACGCGCTAAACTTCTCACTCCATTCCGCTTTCCCTTATTAAAAAAAATGTGCACTTGCATAACATTATCCATTGAATAGAATCCATTGATAGAAGTTTGGATAGGAATAGAAATGCTTATCGGCACCTTTAAATCAGATTATATCTTAACATAACAAAACAAAATCATTTTTTGAAATATAGTTAAAATATATCAAATTTACCTTGAAATAAAATTCTCAGTATAAACAAAATGGAATTTTTTTGACTTTTACTAACAAAAAATAAAGGAAAAAATTTTTTTGATTATTATAATTTAAAAATCATTTCTATGCGTGAAAAATACCTTGCTATATTTAAAACCTTATTACAATTTTAAATTTAAAAAAATTTTTTAATAATTCAAAAATAAAAAATAATTAAAAACTTCAATTTCGCAGATAAAAAATTTATAATGTTGTTATTCATCTTTCATATTTGTCTATTTTCTACAGAGATGATTTATTCTCACAAAATTTTTAAATGAAAGAATATTTAGGCTCCGGTGTGCCTCGCGTGCGTATGTCATCAAAGCTTCTCAGATCAGGTTCGTCGTCGGGATCGAATTCTATCTCCATTGGATCAATAGTAGGGGGTGGAATTCTGGGTTTTGCAGACGGTGCTGGCTGCATTAGACAGGCTTCTAATCTTTCTTTCACGCATTTTCTTTCATCTCTCGCATTTATTACACACGCAGTTTCCTTCGCATATTGCATTATAGCTTCTATATTTCCTTCATATTCTTGAAGCTATATTTAGTAGAAACAGAAAAGCAATTTCAATATAAAATCTGAATTTAAGTTCAATATAAAATCTGAATTTGACAAATATAAAAACGTAATATTTTTAATCATAAAAAAAGATTACTATTTATAATTTATAAGACACATTTCTAACTTTAGAATTAAAACAAGATACAAATTTGTATTTGAAATGAAAATCTTTGCAAAGTTAATACGATAATACGATTACATCTTGTTCGATGTCATCCTTGAGATGAACATTTAATTTATCATCTTGATCCGTTATCGAAGAATCGCTTGATGCGAGATTATGTTTGCTTCCGGTGATAATATTGTATTGACGATTTAAAAGTCTTTCTCTGCACGTTTTGATGTCGACTTCGAGAATAATTACTCTAAATAATTTTTGGAATTAAAAATTATTTTCAATTATTATGTAATTCGTAGAATTATGGCTGCTTGTGAAGTACCTATTAGGTGGTGTAAATATCATATCTAGAAGCTTAAACTCCTCCACAGTTTTAGGATAACCGGTTAAAATCCATCCTTTCTTGAGGCATTCAGAACTGAGTATATGTTGCTAGAAATAACACTCACAAATAATGACGCAAATTTAATTTAATATTTTTTCTAATAAACTATATTGCACCTTGACAATTTGTATTTTGGCCTCTGACTTTAATTTCTGTCCACATCTATGCTTGCATAATCGTAGCACTTCTCCTAGAGCCGTCTCTTGCACACATGCTTGCTCCAGGATATGATTAAAGTCAACTGCAAAAATATAATTTTTATATACTCAAGATGTTATCATTAGATTCATGCAAAGTAAAGACAAAGATTGATGATAAATTGTGCGAAATAAAATTATATGAATAATACATCTAATAAAATGTATAATAGAATCTAGAGTAATCAGAATTATAATATTACAATTACCATGAACAAGATTAAATCTCTCAGATATATATTTTGCCAAAGAGCGACGACCTGATCCTGGAGGGCCTATAAGAACGATACGAAAAAACAACGGTTTCCCATAATATTTTTTGATTTTCACTAATGCCACACAATATTTGCCCAGCTCTTGAATCGTTCTAGTGCCAGCTTCAATTTCCTAAAAAAATTTGTTTACTGATTCCGTAACAATATATATTTACTCGAGTTACAAAGTTACAAATTAACAAAACTAACAATTAAATGATTAGCGAAAGCTTCACGTAAACCTCGAAGAGTTCTCTTATAATTGCGCTGCTTTGAATTCTCTGAAAACGAGCACAAGGAAATAAATCAAATACGAATCAACTCTATATAATCAGAAATCAAATATTAGAATTTAATTTTTACATTGTCCACATAGGCAGCTTGAAATAGAACCCTGTGTTTTAAATTGCTTTTAATTCAAAACCTTTATATTTACTTTATATTTTATGAATGTATTAATATGTAAAGAAAATATATGTAAATAATAACGCTATTAAATTTAATATTAAAATTGATATTTACAGAATAATCGCTCCTTGAAAATGAGAATGGATCTAACAATAAATGGGTCTGAAGAGTATAGCAAAATTAATAATATTTATCATTTGGTAAGTATACTTTGAGTTTCATTCTCTGCACTCGGTAGTATAATATGAATCACGTGTGTTGGTATCACGCCGACACGTTGCAACGCTTGTGCTTCCTTTTTGTTTCTCGGTATATCTATCAAAAGTGAATTATTTATTCAAAGTGAAAAAAGATATAAATAATTGTGATTTTTTTCGGATAATCCAAGAACCATTTTATTCAATAGAATAGTCAGTAAACATTTCTTAATTTACATAATTACCGACTAATATCCATCCAGATTCGTGTAGTATTCCCGACATTAACATTCTCTTCATTCTCATTGCGATCTCATTAGCATCATAACAATGACACGTGTCCTAATATATATATATATGTATATGAATAAAAATATTATGTGTGTGATAAAGTAGAAAGCATGATTCGCGATTTCTAATTCTGAAGTATTTTATAATACCTCATTTTTCACATGATATCTTAAATTAATTTTAATAAGAACATACTTCAGCAGGAGACAAAGCACTTAGGTCTTCCAATGTGACAGGACGAATACCAATTTCCTTCTGAAGAATTTTTGCAAGAATCATTTTGTCTGTCTCAACAGATAAAAAATTTGATTTTATTTATTTTGAAAATAATATTTTTAAAGAAATTGTAAGTCTATTTTTGAAAACTTCTGAAAATGTAATTATTACACTTTCTGGTTTTTTTTATTGTTTTTCATAAATACAAATATTATAATATTAGATAGCAAACATAATGCTGTATTGTAAAAATGTATCTACGATTAATTATGTCAGTATTGGTTGTATTAATTAGCGAATTACCAAAATTTGGAGGAGCTATAAGGATAACTCTGGGAATATCTCGCTTTCGTATGGCATGTTGGATACATTGTTTTATAAATGCTACAGGATTCTCAGGTTGCTGGATCAATAATTGCGTTAATAATTCCTGTGAATTAGTTTATGATCATAATACATATTACAATAAATACAATGTAATATAAGTAATATTTGGACAGAGGAAATGACATGATTTAATTACATAAAATAATTCGTATAATTTGTGCTTCTCTATATAAGACACGAAATCCGACAGGATTGGTCTTGGTTTTGCTGCTCTTTCATAATTGCACATATCTTACAATTTTTGTGGTTAATTAATATAATATTGATTAGCATATGTCATGACTAACGCACTTTGACATATTTTATGAATTATGTTCAGGCAATACGCGACTTTCAATTTATATATTCTTAAAAATCATTTCTTACAATCCTTTCTTAAAATGAACTAGAATATTAAAATGTAACATTTCATTCATTATTAGACACTAGAATCTTATACTATAAAAATTAGTAAGTCTATTTTAGGATTTACATTTTCTTCACTATAATTGAAAACTTACATTTTAAACAAAGAAATGATCTACAATGTTACATTTTATTTATTTTTAATCTTTAAAATCTTATATTATAACATTCAGCAAGCCTAGAATTTTAGAATTTACGTTTTCTTTATTGTAACGCATTAAAATCTTATATTTTAAAGAAAGAAATGTGGTCTAGAATTCTAGAATATAAGATTTCAATGCATTGCAGTAAAGTTTTAGGCCTACCAAATGATATGATACAAGATTCTGAGGCATAAAAATTAATGCAATATACAATTTAACATTCTAAACCATTTTTTTCTTTAAAATATTCAAAATTTTAAAATTTTAATGCATCACAATAAAGAAAATATAAATTCTAAAATTCTAGGCTTACCAAATATATCTAAGATTTTAAAGATTAAAAATAAATAAAATATACCTTTTAACATTGTAGACCATTTTTTTGTTTAAAATGTAAATTTTCAAAGCATTATAATAAAAAAATATCTCTAAAATGCTAAGCTTACCTACAATATTATTTACTTTTAGGATCACGAGTCGATGTTTCAAGCACGTTCTCGATTGTTTACAGAGGGAAGCACTTTCTCAACAGACGTTATGAGAATACGTTGTATAGGTTATACTGATCGTGCGTTTTCATTGAAACGAGTTTTGCTGTTATCTAATATTTTAAAAAAGTAAAAACTTTAAGAACTAATTATATATAAAAGTTCTTTGGTGTCTCGAGAAATATATGCCACGAAAATATCTAGTTTTGAAGTAACGTTTGTGTGATCTTAACACGTGCCAAAATGAGTAAGAATCTATTTCTGTTATATACTTATTCTAAAACACAAAATAGGCTATATTTTGTTCTGAAACTATTTTAAACTAAAAATTAAAAAAAAAGAAATTTAAGAAGACAAGTATAAATCCTCTTTTTGTTTCTAAATTACAGAATAACATTTATTATTATCTGTTTTTATTATCTATTATTATATAGCAAATTAAGATTGATATGTGTTTACAGGTAAAAGAAAAGGATTGCGTAGCACTCAAAATATGGGAGAAAGTAGTGATATTTTCCTATCGCAACTTGGTCCGAGCACTCGGGCATTATCACAAGAATCTGATCGAAGAACTCAAAGGAAAAATAATAGTAATATGTTGCTATCACAGCCTAGCCCAAGCAGTGATATTCTCTTATCACAACCTGGTCCAAGCACTCAGTCTAGTATGTTATCACAAGGATCTAATCGAAGAACTAGAGCTAGTGCATTGTCACAAAGATCTGACTCAAGCATTCGGACTAGAGTATTGTCACAAGAATCTGACTCAAGCAGTCAGGCTAATAGATCATCGCAAAGATGTTCTAAAAACTCAGACAGAGAATCAGCAAATTTGCAAAATATGATGGAGCACGAGCAAGCACCACTTATTAGTAGCATAATAAGATATATACTTGTGGCAGATGGAAATAAACAGGTTATACAGAAGAATCATATCGTTAAAAACATACTAAATGGAAATAACAAACTATTTCGTTCAACTATAGATGAAGTGAAGGGACAATTATTTGCGGTATTTTTGCTTATTTTACATATTATTTATACTTATTTATATATAGAGCAATACATAATTATTTTACAAGGCAAACTTAAAATTAAAATTATATTTAAAATTACAAGTTTTAAAAATCTTTTAATGACATTTAATAGGTGTTTGGATACATATTGAAGGAAGTGGAAAATAATAAATATATATTGATAAATGATATAGAAAATCATCTTCCACATCTATCGTATAACGACAATAATAAGCAGGTGCTATTGTTCCTTGTGCTTGTGCACATTTTTATGCATGGTGAATCTTGTAAACAAGGTAATATTTGCTAAAACTTTTAACAGAAATTATATTTAATAGATTGATAATAAAAAGTAGCTTGAATATTTCGACAGAGATATTGTGGGACTATCTTCGCAATTTGAACATTATAACTGAAAACAGTTTCCAACATGAATATTTCGGTGATGTTAAACAATTGGTGTCGGTTGTAAGAAATAATTCTGATTATTAATGAAATAATTATATAATATACATACAGTATTCATACAGTATTTACATGTATTTATTTCCATACAGGATTTTGTAAATCAGAGATATCTTGCAAAAGTAGTACCAGAGAAGAATGAGTTGTCAGATTTCGAATATGTATGGGGAAATCGTGCGGAAAATGAAATCACTTATCGTTCCTGTTTGGAATTTGTGGCAAATGTAAATCTACAATTATATAATGTGTTCAATGATACATTCAATATTTATTTGAATATTTATTTTTATTAATATTATATATTTATCAAATCTTAATTTTTATTATATATCAGATTATTACATACCAAATAATTTTAATTTTGTTTCTCTTTATTTTTTATATTTTTTTCTATTATGAATGAAGCAATGTACATATTTGTACTATATATACATTTGTTATGTGTGATTGCAGATATACGGCAGCCCCCTAAATAAGTGGAGATTACAATATAAAGCAATGATTGAGCAAGAAAAAAAACGATCATCAGACGTTTCAGAATAAAGTTATAAACAGTTGCTAAAAGAAAAAGGTAGAATTATTCAAATCTACTATACATTTGAATATACCTGTGTTTTTTTTTCGTTTTTTTTTTTTAATTTTAAATAGTAAAAGAATAAAAGAAATTCTGTGGTACCAAAAAGTATGTTACAAAATTTAATATTTAGATATAAAAAGTTTAATAAAGATATTTAATTAATTTTGTAACTAATATTTTATACATTTCTATAACATATAATTAAAACAACGATATATTATCTGAAATTAATCTATTTACGATTTCTCGAATATTTCCTGTCTCTGAAAGCAGCCCTAAAGCTGCAGAGGAATTAGAGTTTGTGCGCAGTCTTCAACTTCAAGTGAAAACACAAAACAAGCTAAATCGCATGCAAACTACACGTGATCGGAATTATCTATATCATCTTTATTTGAAACCATCTCAATAAAAAACACAAATGCGTATAAGTAAACATTTAACTATCCGTACATTTACCTAAATAATATTGTTTCGAATAATCACTATTTCATAGATATACTGTTTTATAAAAATATCGATTACATTGCTTTATAAATTATAAAAAGAAATTCTCATAAGAATTTCAATAAATATTAAAGAATATTTTTTTCTAATTTAATTTTTAGAAACTCACACTTTTTGACCACAGTGAAGGATAGATTTGGGTCAATCGCGCTTTTATGTTTTACGAAGAAGGGGGTGAAAAATCTAGGGTTTTCTCGTGGGTCTTTTTCATGTGTAGGAATTCACAGTTATCAAACTTTCCTCTCTCTCTCTCTCTCTCTCTCACCCGTTAGACGTCCGACCGTCCGTGCATTTACCTTACCACTCTGGGAGGGTGTGGAGCGAAAGGGTGGTTGCGCGGAACGGAATCTGTGTCGCGCCGGGTCAGTCGCGGCCACCACCGCCGGGATCGCGTGCTCTCATCAGTGTCCACCCAGCCTCGCTGCTCGGCGGCTGCCGAGCGCCGTCCGCCCACACGTCCGTCTCGAGCCGCGCGTTGCGATTTCGCTACGACGGACACGCGTGCCGTAGGAATCCTAGCGCGCCGTTCACTGCCCCACGACACGCGGTCAATAGCTCGGGAACTCGAACTTCGAGCACGCGTTACTTCCCCGGGGAAATCAGTGGATCACTCTCCCTTCAGTACGGAGACCTGATTTACTTATCAATAGAAAAATCTAATCTTTTTTGAGATTCTTATGTGTAGACAAGAGAAATTGATTGTGCGACGAGAATAAAAGCGTTTTTTGTAAAAAAAGAATGATAAAGATAAAAACAAGTCGTAAATTATTGCTTGAAGTATTCATCCGTTGCTTTATTTTATTTGTAGAAATTTATTTAGACTCGCAGCATTTCCTCGAAAAATGTAGAATATGCACGAAGCTATCGACCCTGCAGTATATATCGCGTCTTTCGTTGCCAAGTAACATATAAATAAAAATGCTCATATAATATCTCTTCACTGTGGAAATTTTATTTTGTTGTACATAATTATTGTAGAATATTTTATATATGCTCTATATAGAGGATATAACATATATTAATTAACTTATTGTCGCTGCGACTACCGCGAAATATTCTGTGGGTCAAATTAATTTACATAGAGGCATATATGAGGAAGTTCAATGAATTAATCTGATTATTCGCATTTTCATAAACTTTTAAGCGTCTCTGATAGCGTCGCGCGCGCAAAAATTTTGACGACCAATACTTCCGCGGACCAACTGATCCTCTGTGATATTTCATCGAATATTTTCACGAGAAAGTTTAACATCGAAGAGCGAGTCTGTCTTTTGTTGACGGTAAGTGGCAAATTCATTTAAATCGATCGATCATTATGCTTGAATAAATATGCTTCCATGGTACGAAAAATGATTAAGAAAAAATCGATTTAGTATTATAATAATGTAATTATTATTAATAAAATCAAGAAAAAGGAAAAACAGAAAGAATATCGAAAGGAAAGTAATATTGATAAAATTAATAATTATAATAAAAAATATCAATTTTATTAACATTATCATTAATTGCTTGCTACATTTAATTAATAATTTAATTAAATTTCAGAGAAAAAAAAAAAATTTAACAGATACTGACTACTTAAAAAAAAATGTAATTTTCATACTAATTCACTTATGTATTATGTCTTGAACGATCGATATACTTTTTATGAACAGCTAATTAAGCTTAATGACTACTAAGTTGATGTTCTTGATAAGTTTGTTATCACAATTTTTGTTAAAAAGAGTGAGAGACAATTTACATAAGGTCAAATCTATCTTAGTTCTCTATACATTGCACCACACAATACGCACATAGAAAATATACAAGAGATAAGATTTTTATGACAAAAAAATATTAATTTTGCCTATGTTCAAAACAAAATGCTTTATTCCCTTTGTATCATTTTGCTCTCTACGCTCAGTGAGTTTTCAAATATATACGACCTGAGAAAATATTCTGTGCACAAATTGCTGACAAATGATCGCTGTTTTTAAAGGACGCGTTTATTCGTTTCATATCGATCTGAACTCTTGAGAGCGGTATTAATAGTAAGACGATTCCGCACATTAATAATGCATTCGCGTGTATCTTTCGCGATGTTGATTTGCAATAATTTGCTTCGATTGTCAAATTAGACTCGAGAAAGGTCAGAGGAAAAATCCGACGATCTATAAGGGTTATTAAAGAAACGCTTTATCGGCAAAATGTTCAAGAGAGTTAATTAAGAGAACTTCTATTCCTTTTTATCCTTCTCCTTTTATCAAGGTAAACGCTGAGAACTGTAAAGTCAAAGTGTATAACATCTTTTTCTCCCCATTATTACAGTCATATAAAAGAAGCATTTTTCTTTTTAATAAAATAGTAGAATAAATCATCCGATTTATAGAAAAAGAAGAGAGATATATTACGTTTAAATTTGAGATTCAAAAACAATTTCATGAAAGTTACATTTTCCAATTACATTCTCTGAATTAGATAATCTTTACCGAAAACATTCTTAGGAATTAAATAAATTCGCGCGTGTTGACATTTAATCTTTTAATGAATTAAAAAGTTAATTAAATATTAATTTAAAAATGTTGAATGTTAAAATTAATGAGATTACAAAATTATAACTGTAATGAAATACTAAGAATATATTTAACTATTTAATAAAGTATTATACAATACAATGCGTTCCAATCTAGTTGCAATTTTATCATTTCAATGGCGAATAATGAAATGACTTTTCATTATCTACCAGGAAAATGAGAATCGAGTTGAATATTCTTCTATCACTAACCAGATACAGTAAAATCTTGAAGAATCACATTAATAAATTGTTTGATTTGCTCCAAGAAGAAATTGTTTTCAAGTTTGAAAAATTAATCATTAATTATGTTACATTTATTTTCATGTCTTCTTATCCGAGCAACACCATCGTTCATGTAAAACAGTAATAAAAGTTTACAAGAAAATCGTGAAAAATTGTAAAATAATCAGATAAGCCTCTCGTTGAATATTCACGTATTAATTTTATGCAAAAGCTGTAAAATAATTCTAATGGGCATAAAAGTATATCTACCAAGTTGAAGAATACAATTGCCAAATGAATTTCAGACACGTCGGGACCAAACAGGAAACGGCGAAGGTAACTGCGGCGCAAAAATGTTTAATCTCTATCAGAGTCTGAACAAGAAGGATGAGGGTGACGGACAGCGGAACCGCGAGTCCGAAGTGACCGGTCACGACCGATTCTGCCAACATCGTACCGGTCATTCGAGCACTCGTCGTCGTCGTCGCGCCGTAAATCGTAGAACGCAAAGCGCTACCGAGTTGAATGCCAGGGCGATGAGTTCAGCGCGAGGATCGCTACGACGAGGTCGCAGCGTGAGCACGGAGGATGAGAACGAGAGCGAGGACGACAAAGGTCATCATCAGCTGGCGAACAAGCTGGACAACCTGGCACGACTGCTCTTCAGCCGCGTATCGGCGGCGCGAGGATATAAGGACCAAGGCGACGTCAAGTGAGAATAAGAAAATAAAAATATACTTTTTGATGGATTTATTATTGGACTGGATTTTGGATGAGTCAAAATTAACTGACAAAGATAGAATTTATCATTTTTATAAGTTGTGATAAAATTACAGATATAGAATCATAAGTGTGTGTGTGTGTGTGTATAAAAATTTTAAAATAACAAAAAAATCTAAAAACTTTAAAAAAAATTTTTTTAATTTGTAAAAGAATTATAGAGAGTTACAAAATTTATTATAGAATTGTGCATTTGTAGAATTACGTAATTATATAAAAAGTTACAGGGTCAGTTAAAGAATGATGAAGTTATTTATAAAACTAATTAAATTATAAAATTGTAGAATTATAAAGAATTATGCAAAATTATAATTATAGAGAAAACATGGTTAATAGAATTAAAAATTTTAGAATTAATTATGGATATATTTACAGAATTAATTAAAACTATTTTTTTGGCGTTGAGCTAAAATAAATAAAATATATAAAAAAAATAATTTGAAGTATGAAATATATAATAAATCACGGCTAAAAAATTTCTTCATAAAGCAAGATATATAATAATCTTTCAACGAGTACAGATTTATCTTTTCACGATACATGCTATTCATATAGCAATTGTGTATACATATGGTATTTCTCTCCGTTTGGAGCCAATTATTACTTGTTGCTTCAATGAGTTCACGACACTTCGTTATTGCCAATATCTCCGTGTTGTATTAATTACAATGATTTCCCCCGTTTGCTCTAACAGTTCTCTCTCTGACATCGCATTTGATATTGCATGCTGACATCACTTTATTCTATCCGTTGCTACAATTACGCATTTGTACCACGTATCTTCAAGCATTCGTCTCTGTTTGTAAACTGTGAACAGACCTGTTTAACGATAAGCTGCTTTGGAAAATCAGCTTTGATCGGCGTGCTATCGTGAATTTTCCTTCTTCGCGGATTTATTATCGCGTTTATATGTCGCTTGGTGAAAATATCTGATCAATAATGACAACCTGTGCACAAAACATTCATCGAAAACTCCCAGCGTACAATCCTAATCGCGTAGACGGAAATTTCCGAGTTGCTGCGCGCAGGTAACGATAGACAAGTGTACAGAGTGTTTCGGAATCGCCGAAATCTTTAACTTCCAAGCACTTCTATAATTTCTGGATATTTTGATACATTGACATTTCTCGTATTTCTTTATTTTCTAATTTTTTCTCTCTCTCTTTATTCTCTTACAATGTAGATTCGGAATAATGACAATAGCTCTGAGACACTCTGTACGTGTGATAGTAAATTAATTAATTTAATTACCGTGTCTTATATGGGAGCGCAAGCCGTGTAAAGGCTGACTATACGGCGATGTACAGTTATTGTGACGATTTTTTTATTGGATGAAACCCCTTGCAGTTGTAGAGCAACGTGGCGCGTTAGTGACACGCGACCGCATCTTAATCCGTGGTTCGCGAACCTAATCCGCTTTTGTTCCTGCCAGAGACGCGATAATGCACAGGAACAGTCTAGGTAAGCGCAAAATTGCGCGGCAACTTTTAGCAGCGTATAAATAATTTATTTATACGTTATACAAGGTATAAAAAATAACAATCAGACCCTCAGAAAACTCAGAACGTCCCATGATAAAATACATGGATATCTCTTTTACACTTCATTATTTTTATCCTTTTTGCAATACTAATAGTACATCATTTTTTACTCACTGTTATTATCTTTAATAATTATAAAAATTTTGCAAAACGCTTTACAACGCTGAATAACTGCTGAATTCCAACAAGCTGATCCGAAGATATTAGATGACCACGATTTAAAATAATTAAACTGCCTCGTTTAATTAAAATGAAGCTCGCAAAGAGCGTTTTATTTTCCCAGCGACAGGTCGGATAGATAAAAAAAAGAGATAATTAAATAGGATTTCACGTGTACCCAACAGGAATGGCCGTTACACGGCGCTGAATCACGGATCGAAATCTGTCAACGAGGACGGGGTCGAGTATGTGGAAATGGAGAAGAGATCTCGCGATCGTGCTTTATCAATCTGCCGTGACTACATCGGGAAAACGCCGCGTTTCGCTCTCATCAAACAACTCAATAATATCGGTGAGCCTCCTCAATCGCTCTCTCGACTCCGTCGAAACCATCAAAGTGCTACATCAGAATGTACAATGTGTCCCGGAGATAAACGTGGCATTTCCCATTTTAACATATCAGAATAAAATTAAAGTGGCACGCAATATAAATATGGAAAGAGATCATTATATCAAAAAGTTTGAGAGTCTAAAAAAAGTAGAAAAGTTATCGACTAGCAGTAGGAAACTTGAAGTATCGATGACGTACGCGAGTTTCTCGTATTGGCACTTATCGGCCGGAAAGTATCTCGGAAAGTTTGCGAAGGACAGCCGATATAGAACTGTATGCTTTAGGGTCGAGGGTGGACAAGTATTGGTTCATGGTGAGGGACACGTCGCTGAAGACGGACAGACTGTTAACTTTGGTGCCATTGAATCGGAACTGTCCGCTGACCGTCTGTCCTTCCACCAAGGACATCCTGAACAATCTGTTTCTGGCCTTACAACATCCCTACATCTGTCCCGTCTTTCACGTCGATTTTCTCGAGTACGAGGACCAAACGTATATCGTCCTGGTGCAGCCCATCAATCAGGGCAGCCTTAAGGACTTGGTGTACGGCGTGAGTACCTCACTCGTGGCGCAAAATATTTACTTCCACAGGACGGAAGGAAACTACGCGTGTAAATTTTATAGCTTCGGATCTTTTTCGATTTTTAAAAATAATTCTTCGCTCAACTTTCTTCCTTAACAGCATTTTTTATACTTTCTTCTTTTCAATGTTAAACATGATGCTTAAATTTTATAATCGATTAATAAAATTGAAGTTTATGTAAAGTTTATTCGAGAAAACTTTTCCGACATTTTACACATCGAGGACGATGAGTTCCAGCAAAAGTATATTTCACAACAGATCGAGCGGAATTGCTGGAATGAGGATTGGACTCACAAATATGCCGCACGAGGCAAGGGACTTACGTTGCCGCAGGTGCAACGAATGGGACGACAGATATTGGAAGCGTTGATATTCCTGAAGGAACGAGGATTCCCCACGGTGACCCATCTCCATTCGGGCAACGTGGTGATCCAAAACGGCGTTGCGAGGCTGGCCGGTCTGGAGAACACTCTTCTAGGCTTCACCAGTCGCGTGCATCCCGTCGTAACATCGCGTTTAACGCACTCCATCTCGATCGATATTATATGCTTTGGTGGGTAGCAATTTTAATGCGAAATTTTTAATCGGAGGAATTTTTTTTAATCAATCCACCGATATTATCGGAGAGAAAATATCGAATCTTGATAGCATATAACGTTTTAATACTATTTTAAATTTAGTTCAATATCGATTCTTTTGTAAAAAATGCAACAATTTATGTTAAAAATTCAATTTTATAGTAAATCTTCCAATATCTTTTGTACAAAAAAAGGAAAAGTCATAACAATATAAAATAATTTCGAAATCCTTACTATTTTTAGGTAGCGTAAAAATAGATAATATTACATTAGGACAAATAATTCTACAATAAACTATTTTACGTTTTCAGGACACATGTTGTTCGAAATGTGCGCCGGCTATGAATTGTGTACTTTCAGACCGTCCGCCGTTCAGCTATCGGACATTGAAATGTATCCGCAGGTAGAAATCGATAAGAATAATAATCCAATTTAGTTCACTGCATAAAACGACGATCCAAAAATATCTTTGAATTTCAGGTCGTGAGGTTCCTCGAACTGATATTTACGGAATCGGAGAGTCATTTTACTAACATCGAGGAGCTGCTGATCCACGATCTCTTCAGGAATATCGATCTTCGCGAAATGCGATGCGCGGCTGTAACCGTGAGTATCCAATTGTTCAGTCTTTATTTTCAAATTCGTCGAAAGTAACGCGAATTATTTTAGGTATTTCGTCCAACCCTGACGCCCTCCATAATGAGTCTGCTCGATGGTATTAAACGGCAAGACGCTGCGAAAGGGTGAGCTTCATTCCAGTATATATAAATAATACGTTAAATTATTAAATATACATAAAAATCTACTGTACGTGCGAACTCATTTTTTAAAATAATTATTCGTTTGGCCAATAATTCATTTTGCATGCACAGCTGGCATAAGACACGCTCTATAAGCGATGTCCATTTAACGCGCAGATTTTGGTAATGAACATTCAATTAATTTCGTTCATTAATAAATAATAGTTAAACTGAAGTAGCATTATACACGCGAGCGCTTAATTTTTTTCAGAACCACGAATATTGATAGCGAGGACGCTTTATCGATGAACAGCCTCGAATGCGGTTCTCTACTTACGCAGATATACAACGAGCTTTCACAAACAGCTTTATAATATGGGAACAAAGTCTACATATATGTGTATATTTTATCTCGAATAAGAATGCACGTTCCTATTGTATTTGCAAAGTGCCAAGAAACCGATTATCCCGTTATTCTATCATGTACAAAGTACATGTCAAAGAATTTGTACGAGGATGTAGTTTATTTGTGTGCTTTCTTCGTGTTTAACATGTTTGTCCGATCCAGATTATATATCGTTAAAAATAATTATTTTTCTGATTATTGCAATAATTCTAAGAACAAAAAAAAGATAACAATCCTTTACCCATAATATATATATATATAGTCGGAATTATTTTAAATTATATGAGGGATTATAGTGGGGAAGAATCGCTTGCTAATAAAGGAAATTGAGATAAGCATAAGTCGAGTTGAGCATCACCGAGTTTACATTATTTCTTTATTATTCATACTTAAAACGAAGTAGAAAAAGTACTTGGTATTTTCTAGGTGTTACGTGAGCTTCCGCTGTGACAGAGAAATAGTACCTTTATATGAAAAAATGGTTTATAACAAATGTATAACTAGCCGTTATTCAGCTAGTTGAGTTTTTAATTGGTTAATTGATTCCGTTGGGTTTGTGACATATCTAATTAATCACCGCGAAACAATAATGCTCGCCGTTCTTATTATTTTGAATCATTCCCAGTTGTTTTTATATTTCGTTGCAAAATTATCAATTAGAAATGCAAACGCGTTTAGTCAGATTTAATAAAATGAATTTATGTATTTTATCATCTGTTCAAAATGTGGTGGAAAATATCGATAGAATTTTTTTTTCTTTTTCTAGTTGTAACATTTTCGCGCAATTTATGTAACCAATGGATTTAGCAAGGATCCGAAAAGCAAGAATTATTGCTTCTTCGTAAAAAGAAATCTGTCACGAGACAAATATCGCAACCATGGCTTGGTACTTGTATCTCAATCGGCGATGGAAAAATAACAGGATCAATTATGTTTATCCTCATTATGAACCACCGGTCTCGATTTCGCTCCCAGGTGTCTCGGGTTCCTCATCGTTGTAAATATTCTCTGCCATTTGCCAAACTTGCATTATATTGTCCTCAGACACTGAACAAATGACCCACGGTTCATTCGGATTCCACGAGAAGTCACTAATCTTCGCAGTATGGCCTCCGTGTATGAACTGTGGAAGTATTTAAATTCTTAGTTGCAAATTTAAAAAAAATTTTTTTTTTTTTTAATATTTTAATTTCAAAAATAATGTATAGTTTTATCAAGAAATCTTTTTTATTAATTTTGTTACTCGCAAATTGAATTTAATTACCAGAAGTTCAGGTGGCCCATCCTCTGCATCTTCGCTCGATTGTTCCTCGCCGATTTTGCTAAGATCCCAAACATGTAGTCGTCTATCTGTTCCACTGCTAGCTAGTATCGTCTCATTATGAGGTGACCATTGAACTTGGAAAATTTCATCCTTATGCGATTCGAATGAATGTAATTTCAATTTGAGATTTCGCAAGTCCCACAGTGCTACAGTCTTATCCGCACTACCAGTTGCCAGTATGAATTCAGAATACGGATTGAAGCTCAAGCAATTTACTTCGGCAGTGTGAGCGTCAACGGTGTGACTCGGTTTGCTGGTATTGTTGCACCTATGTGAGAATCGAAATTTAACTATATAATATGCACTGTATTGTGCGCCTCTATGTATGCACACACATCAATTAATCGTAATTTCAGTAGCATTAAAATTAATTGCATTAACATCACATTAATTCTCTAGACATTAATAGCATATTCATTTATTTTTTTCAATTTTATTTAAATTCAGATTCTGAATATTCTTGTCCTGAATCTAAATCTTTATTCTCTGAAGAATTGAAATATCCATCTAAGGTAAATATTTAAATTATTAGATATATCGTTAATACAATGCAAAGATGCAATTACCTAGTATCCCAAATCATCAGTTTTTGATCATCAGCAACAGAACCAAATAACGATTCGTGCAATAGATGCCAAGCGACATCCTCGACCACAGCTGTGTGACCCGTGAAGATGGTTTTCGCGTCGATAACACGATTCTCCTTCGGTGTCGCGTTGATATCCCACAAGCAAATTGTGTGATCGTCGGATGCGCTCAATAAGTATCCGTTAAGATTTGGATTCCATGAAAGGCCATAACCTTCCTTTTGATGTCCTCGCAATCTGCGATTAGAATTATAAATGATAAAAAAACAAACATACAATAATAATTACATTAATACCGATATACTTTATCATGCGAGTACCTCAAATCTGGATGACATTCGCCATTGGGATCCGGTTTACTAGGATGTTTCGTGTAGTCAAATACTAGCACATCACTTGAGGGAGTTTTCGTTGCAATTACACATGGGTTCTGTGGCATGTATCGAGCCCTGTTGACTTCGCCCTCGTGATTGATCTTGATCTCAATTTCGATTTTGCCACTTACAGAACCAAATCCACCAAATTCTCCCTTTTCATTATCATAATGAGAAGCATCAAATTGCGCATCTTCATTTGGTAATTGTACGCTAGCAATAAGCAAATGATTTTGTTCATCCGAAGTATGAGTGCCCAGAATCAGCCGATGGACTGAATAATCCTTCCCTTCGGGTCGAGTAACATCTGGAAGCCATTGAGCTGTCAGAGAAGGCCACTCCAAAGCATGTGTCATTACAAGGTCGTAAAGAAATGGTGTGTTCTTTTTCCATATCTTGTACTCTTCATTGATAATACGTTCCTCCACTGCATCATCAAAACCCTCTGAACAAAAAAGGTATAACATTTAAATCCTATGCTATGTATGCAAAAATCCGAATCATAAAAAATACATGAATAATAAAATACAAATGTAATTGTTAAACAAAGTGTCATATAGATCCAGTAAATACCAAGTCTTTTATTGCCAGTAAACAATAAAAGATAACGTTTGTTAAATAATCGGCGACGGCGTAAGGTTTTAAAAATTGGAAGAACACGAGGGGTGTTTGGCCATGATGAATATGAACTAGTAGAAGCAACAATGCTTCCTGAAAAGTAAAAGAGTAGAATTTATCTTTTTGATTGATTGCACAGATTTTGAGAAATATATTTTTGAATATGACTTTATACTAATATTTGTATACTGGTTTGAATAGTTTCTTTTATTATTTTCTTGTGATAATTCTCTCTACTTGCAATTTACTACTTTCAATGTTATCAATATTCACTAATTACATTTTGTGTTATAAAATTATTTTCAAAATTACCCCAATGCTGCAAATTTGTTGCTGGAAAAATCTTATCTGGATTCATTTAGAGAAATCAGTAAAATTTAACAAGTAGAAGTCAGTATCTGATACAAAGATCTGATATAATAAATTGTATGTAGTAAACAAAAACTTCAAAATCTTCCACAAGCTTGCTAGCTGCACATAAGTACTCAACACACAACAATATAAGGTCAAATGTTATTTTCATATCCAAAATCATTTTTCTCAAATTACTCAACCAATCAAAAAAGTTTATTCATATCTTTTACTCGTTCTTTTATCAGGAATCAAAGATATGCCATGATTTATCATTTATTTCGTAATTTACTATACGTGTCATGTGTAATGTATAAAATATAAAACATACATATACACATACACAATTATTGTGTAAAATTATATATACCTTAAAATTAATGTGCTTATATAATGTTCAAATTAACATTCTGGTATTGCAATTGTACATTTTACGACAAAATTGAAAAAATGATCATTAGAAGAGTCCATGTTCAATTTGATGAAATGCAAATATCTGGAGAAGCAGTATTTGCTTTAAATATTTATGAACATGTTTTTTCAACCGATATATTGTGCATACCACGAAGTATATATTATACGTTATTGTTTAGAAGTCCCGTAGAATCAAGGTTCTAGAATCCTATGAGATATCGTTAGCAATTACAATTACACGCGTCACAACGTGCTCGAACCGGTCTCGCTTTAATAATGATAATTCTGCTAGTTTTAGCATCGCGAAAATGTGACAAACCATTAATTATTCGAATTGTTAAGCGTGACAACAGGGAGACAAAGTTGTATCTTATTTTCAATAGCTAGTAGCATTGTTTATTAGGATGCTTCCCGAAAGTTGCCGACTAACTACACTTGTTTATTTTCGCGAGAAAGCAGAGTGAACGCTCAACAAATATCAAAAACAAGCAAATCCTCACCGCCGTCCTTGTCTGCCATCATTTATCCTTCACAGATTCGCTAATTCGAGAAATAATTAAAGGGCAAAGTACAAGCTGCTATTTGGCCCGCCAAAAATCGACAAAACAACGGATACCGACATGAACGGGACGCTCAGACCGGTCACAAAAATCACAAGGCTTGTTTGCAATACAGCGACGCTTTATGGAGGATTCACACTGCGTCCTATTCCTATGTACGACGTCCGATATTTAATAGTAGAGCTTGTTTTCTAGACGATAAAATATCTCTAGTTAGAATTTCTAGAAAACAAGCTCTATTATTGGATATCGGACGTCGTACGTCGGACATCGGACGCAGTGTGAATCCCCCATTACAGTCAGTTTCTACTTGTACAGCGGATGTGACGACCAATTTGTCCAACTTCTTTCTAGATCAAGCTGAACCTAAGGGCCACCGCACAAGCTTCTTCGTAACGTGTTACGTTAAGCCGAGAGCACAAGCTTTTACATAAAGCATAACGCATAAGCATAAGGAAATTGATTGGTCTATATATAAGCATAAGCAAATGCATAAGGAAATGGACCAATCAATTTCCTTATGCTTATGCATTACGCATTATGTAAAAGCTTGTGCTCTCGGCTTATATAAACTTAAACTTCAGTCAACGTACAAACAAAAACGTAAAGGCCTATCCAGACAAACTTGCATAATCGCATAAACATATGTATAAATTGATTGGTCCATTTCCTTATGCATTTGCTTGTGAATATATTAAGAAATTAGAAAATTAGGTATTCGTTTTAAATAGTTAAATTCATTAAATAATTAAATATAATCTTTAAAATTTTATCTGTTTAAAAAATTTTTTAAATTAGTCTTAATTCGAAAAATTGATAATCATAAAACATTGTTCTAAAGAATGCATTTTAATTCAAAGAAATGTTATTAATTTGTTACCGATTAGAGAATATAGCAAAAACAATTCAATAATTTTGATTATATTTCATTTTATCATATTTTAGAAAATATGATGGCCTTTTATCGAGGTATGTTAAAAAGATCAGAGATAAGTTTTACTTGACTATAAAGTTATTCTGTTTTATGACTCCTCATTTATTTCCTGCTTGCTCAAAAATGTAATAACTTGTTCCGCTAATTCTCTATAAGCTTCTGCTTGTCTACTTTTTGGCGCCACCAAAACAATAGGTTTACCACTGTCTGAACTTTCCGCAATACTCTCATGCATTGGTATCTTTTGCAAAATATCTATACCTGCAACATAGAATAAAAAGAAACATTAAATACAATACATAAATAATGTCACGATTAAATCATATTTTATTAATAATTTATTACCAAGTTCTTTAGCCAGCGATTGAGTTGCATTACCAAAAATGGACACCTCAGACATGCATTTCGGACATGTAACAGTGCTCATATTTTCCACAATACCAGCAACGGGTATATCCAACTTTTTGAACATATTTGCGCCTCTCCTAGTCACTTCTAGCGCAACTTTTTGTGGCGTCGTTACCAGCAATGCACCAGCGATGAAAAGATTCTGAATTAAGGAAAGATGCGTGTCTCCTGTTCCAGGAGGAGTGTCGATCACAAGATAATCAAGCGGTCCCCAAGCCACCTGATTTATCAATTTGTCCAACGCACTCATCACCATGAGACCTCTCCAGACTACCGGTGATTTCTCACCGATTAAAAATCCCATGGACATACTGCGTATTTGAAATACGAAATTATAGAGCACAACCTCATTTATCAGATCGTTTAACACGTTTGACAATTAATCACCATTTCACACCATAATTTACAAGTGGTTCCATAAAGTTCTCTTGATTTATTACAGGTGATTCGTGTATGTTCATCATCAAGGGTACAGAGGGTCCAAAAACATCAGCATCCAATAATCCAATGGACTTCTTTGGCTCCAGAATTTTTAAGGCAGTTGCCAGATTCACAGACGTTGTCGATTTTCCAACGCCACCTTTTCCAGAGGCAACTAGAAGAATTTGTTTAACACCTTTCATTCGTTTTCGTTTTGGAAGGCCCCGTGCCATAATATCCCTTTGTCTAGCTTCTACGTTTTCTTGCTTGGTCTTAGTTGGTTCAGTCGTTATGCTGTACTAAAACAAAACAGAAAGCAGAAATTATATTATTAGTAAAATAATTGTATGTTTATTTTTTTATTAATCCTAATTTTAATACTTTTTGCGTGATAGTTCATTAAATCTAAAATAAAATGCTTCAAAGTAAAGGTTAAGCACAAGATTTTCCAATTACTTTTCTTCAGACTTTGTGCATAGAATTTTAATAGAATAATTAAATACTTACTTTCTTGTGCCATTGCCACAGATATTGAAAGCATTTTAAATGCTCGCCTAAATGCGGTCTCACAGTAATATTCAACATTTTCGTTGACATCAACTTGAACTTAACCTCGTGTGCGATATTTGATACAATGCATTGTACTATATATTAGGAAAAGGTATCGACATTTTAACGCAAAATATTATCCATAAAATTTAATATTTTAATTTTTCCATTTTTCTGTGTTACATCACCGAAACTAATTTTAAGGAATTGTTGCAAGAACGGCGCAATTTTTTTCGGAACGCATCGAAAGCTTCCATCTGTCAACGTCGGAGGCGTTGAAAGGTTTGCGTCGTGCAGAAATGTACGAAAGTAAGTTATTTAATCAGGAAAAATATTTATCTCATTATTCTGAAATTGTTTCTCTGCGAATTAATTTCCATCCTCACGTCCCCTCCTCTGTACATGTATATTTATACACTTACACAATCAGCGTAAAAGAAAAAAAATGTCATGCACACATACATCGCCATTCCGCTATCATTACAGGGCACCTAACCTATATCTACAATCCTATATAATCCTATATTTGTGATCATAATTGATATCTCATGATGAACGATAAGAATTTTTGCATGACTCGTCGCTTATCATTATGGTGCGCTTTTTCATGAAAGATTAATTGCGTTCATCAGAAAACCGTGTTTCATATTTCAATAGTTATTAGGTTATGTTCATTTGTACTTCGCAACGAGTCAGCAACGAGTTGCGCTGGATTGCGCTTATTTGTACTTTCAGTACGCTGGAAAAAAATGGCGTCCACTTAGTCAATTTTCTGTTGAGCGCAAGCAATTGCGTCGCGATTTATTCCAATTGAATTGTGCAGTCGATCGAAATCGATGATGATGAAACGTATGTTTGTTTGCGATCTTTTTCTGTACCTTTCTGAAGTATGATTTCGCGCCGACAATCATAGTCGAAAGTGGATGTGATTTTCAATGAGAGGTTAAAAGAGGAATTGAAGTTTAAAGTTTTTGCAGAATTAAATTTCTCGCAAAGTTAAATTTTGTTTTTTTTTTCTTTGAACAGAATAATATTAACACTGTGATGAATTGTGCAGGTGAAGGACGTTGCATTTGACCACAGGGAATACAGAATATGGGCCCAAAGGCAGCCGTTCAAGCTTTGAAGTAAGTTTTAGTTAGCTCCAAATGCAACAAAACATCTCTGCTTCTTATTTTCTTAATGTTTAATAAATATTTAACAGAAAGGCGGAACCATTGAAGGATAAGGTCCAGCGCTGCAAGGATTTGCTGAATGACAATGATGCTTGGGTATGTCAGCAGCAGTTGCAAAAGATATACCAGCAGGTTCTCATACTGGATTTGGAGTATGCCTTGGATAGGAAGGTCGAGCAGGAGCTGTGGAATCTTGGATTTAAGAATTATATAGCGACTCTGCAATCACAGGCTAAGGATAGGAAGAACCCCAAGCGTGGTGAATCTCAGGCATTGCTCAGTTGGTGCTTAGAAGCAGCTAGTGGATTTTATTTAACCTTGCTGCAGGAAATATGCACTGTATTCGATTTGGATTTACCGTTTAGAAGGTATGTTTTTTTCTTATAAATCTTATACAAATTTATTATATTTTAATTTTTTTTTTTTTTATTGAGAACTTAATCGATTTTTCTAGGAAAGGTTATATGTATGGGTGTACATCTCCGTGGAAAGCTGTTGAAAAATTATCTCCGCCTCACAAATCGTCTTGTTTTTACGCCTGCCAGTATTGCCTTGTACACTTGGGCGACATTGCGCGGTACAGGAATGAGAGCAAGCAAGCCGAGATGTTTTACAGACATGCTGTCCTGCTATCACCATCCAGCGGACAGCCGTACAATCAATTGGCGCTTTTGGAAGCATCTCGTGGTGATAAACTGGGCACGGTGTTTCACTATGCACGCTCGGTAGCTGTGAAGCATCCGTTTCCTGTTGCCACAGCAAATCTCGCTACAACTTTGTCCTCCGCCTTGAACGACAAATCCTTCAATGTTGACGGCAAGACCAAACTAAACTCTCAGGAGTACATCTCTGTTTTTTTGAAGTTACATGGAATAATCCATAATTTCGGCGATTTGAAGCTTGCGTGCTCATATAGTAAACAGTTGACGGAAGCGTTGACTGCACTGGTCGCCACCGAGAGTTTCAGCTCATGGATGCTTATACAGATGCTGGTAATCAACTTGTATGCTCTGCAACATACAACCGGAATCAGCAATGACAGCATGGAAATGCTGAAGAATGAGCAGTTAACCAATGACGAAAAACTTGCCCGCGACTGCATACTGGACCTAATCGCAGGCACTCTGTCTGCTTTGCTGTTACCCGTCTACACAATAAAGAATTCTATCATCGAGTACTTTGCGTTGCCTTCGAGTAAGTATTTCACGCATTATTACAATGTTTACGTTTGATCATTGAAAAGAAGAGAAAAGTAATAAAGAAAATTGTCTTTTTATTGCAGTAAAACTGTGCCTTGATTGGATCAACATAAAACCCACGGTTTTAGAGGAAGTTGCTTTTACATCGAGATTACAAATCTGGCCCAGCCTTTGTGTGTTGTTAAATGCTCTACAAAATTGCGTAGTGGATTTCAAATATGACGAATGTAAGTAGTTGTATTATATATTTAAGATTATTAAGTAATAATTATATCTTGCAAAATTATTTTCTCACATAATTTAATCAATATGTTTAAAAATTAAATTTATAGTATAAGACATAATAATTATTGTACGTATTGCAATTATATTTCAAAGAATATATAGCGCTTTGTGTGTAAATATATATATAAAAGCTATAAATTAATTAAGAAAATAAAATGTGCTTAGTGCATTTATAACATGCTGCCTCGGAACAGATGTTGCAGTGCCGCTACCAGAGGACCGTGATCTCCAGGGTTTCCTACCGTTGGAGAAGAGCTTCGAGAACCTGAGATTTACAAATACTACGCTAGAAGGCGACATCGCGACGTTAAATAAATTACGAGCTATACGCATTCTGCATCTGGGTCGTTGCCTTGCGCAATACCAGATCAATGGATTGGCACCAATCACGATCACGACGGAGGAGAAAACGGGCGATAACAGATTTACGTCTATGAGCAACGGTGCCGGGCCCAGCAACGAACTGATGAAGGAACTCGAGGAACTTAGTTTGAACAAGGACAAGCAGCTAAGCACGCCGATGAGCCCGGCGCTGTCCGAAGCAGCGAGTAGCAAAAGTTCCGTAGAAAATGACACAGAGATTTTCACCGACAAGAAGATTTTCCAAGGTATTCTCAAACCGCAAGGCTCCTTGGAACGAAACCGAGATTCCTTAACGAGCGTCGCGGAAACGAGCAGCGTCGAAGTGAATTCTCAGCCGTGCGCCAGGAAGCCGCGACAGAACATAGCGATGCAGGCAATCATGCGCCGCGCGGAGACCGAGCAGAAGCAAGTGACGTTTAAGAACGTGTCGCCCGTGATCGTCGAAGAGGAAAACGATAGAAAGGTGAAAGCAATGGCCGTTCCGCCGGCCAATACCTCTGCCGCGAATAAACCGGCGCCAATTCCGGAGATGCCGAAAGCTAACGAAACTCCCGGTGCGAATAACACGCTTATCAGCATTCAGAATCGGCTGTCGGCGATGTCACTTGCTCCGTCCGCCTCTCAGAACCTGTCCGCGCCGGTTCAGAGCCAGCAGAGATCCGCGAAAGTACCGGCCAGCATCCCAATGCCCGCTCAGGTGAATCAACTGGCAGTCAAGGAGCAACAAGTCCAGCAAGTCGCTCAGCAAATGCTACCGCAGATGCATGTCGGCATATCGGCGCAACAGACGCCGACACTGGGACCGACTTGCTACCCGAATCAATCGTTTAACGTGCAAAATCCGCAGTTCGCCAAGAACTTCATGACAAATCGGCCGCCACCGGCGAATATACCGCATTACCAGATGCAAGGACAGTTCAACAACAACGGCCAGCCGGCCGCGGGAATGCCGCAGACCATGAATGGAATGCACCACGCGATCAACCAGAGCAGACCGTTGCACCAAAGAATGCCGCAGAGCGTGTCGCACAGCCCCGCGCAGCTGCTGCAGCAAAACATGCGATTGGGATCCCCCGCTCAGCCAAGTGTGATGCCGCAGAGTATGAATCTGCAGGCGAATAATATGGGACTGCAGACGAGCATGAGCATGGAACAGCAGAGCCACGCGATGGGGCTGCAGCAGCAGCAGCAGCAGCAGCAGCAGCAGCAGCAGCAGCAGCAGCAGCAGGGCTTGATGCCGAGCAATCCCCGATCAAACGGCATGCACAATCAATTGAGCGTGAACGGTTCGGGCATAGCGAATATATCAGGGATGATGTCGGCGTTGTACGAGAAGGACCGTCCGCAACAGGCTCTCGCGACGCTAACGAACTCGCAGAGCCCGACGAGCGTGTCGAACTTCCAACTGAACTTCAATCAGAGTAACTTCAATCAGAATCAAGCCTTCGGCCAATCGCTGTCGCAAAATCAATCATCGCCGTCGTTCTACAAGAAGAATGCGGATGCGATCGACTTTCCCTTCCCGAATCAGACCAATGTGGCTAAGAATCAGCCGCAACAGCAACCGCCGCCGGCGAATAGCTACAATATGTTCTGCAATTACGAGCCGACCAAATCCTTTAATTTGTGGAAGGACAGTCAACCGCCTCAACCGCCAATTGCCTGGTGGGGTTCAGCTGCCAATGCTGCGGGCCAGATGCACGTGAAAGATTCGATCGCCGGTGACAATACATTTTCGAACTGGAGCGATTCGTCTAATCTCGGAAATGTGGCGAGTAGAATGCCACTGACGCCGGGCAAAAATTACCAGCAGCAACAACAAAACGGGCAGCACAGCAGACACCTTATGACAGGAAATAATTTCGAGGATACCAGATTGTTCGAAGTAAGTAGCGTCGTTCAAAATAAACGGTATAGCGTTCATATTATGTGCGGAGAAAAAGAATCGAATAAAGCGAGATATAATCCTAATAAACGTCTGAAAATGTTTTATTAAAGTGACAAAATTTATTTATATTAATTAATATCGAAAAAATCAATCTAAAAATGTTTTCATGCCCGATTTGTTTATTTAAAGTGAACATTGTGAAACCCAAGTGTTC